TCTGCCTCTGCATTGCCTTCGGATAAAAGCCCAGGCAATCCTTGGTGCCCCCTAAGATGCTGTAAGAAAATAGGGGCTTCTCTCTCTTTAAGGAGCATAAGAGTCTGAATCATCAAGGGAGTAATGAGGTTCCCATCCAACCGGATGTGAGAACCTAATAGCCCTGGAAGAAGATTGACTACATACAGACTGTCAGAAATTAAATTCATGGGATCACTTATCTTTGTTAATGCTAAAGCAGTGTCCAGGAGTTCCTTGAATTGAGCTTAGCCCGCCCCAGCCACCTTCCCGGTACAGGGCCTTCCCAGCTGTCCAGCAGGCAGTCCAGGCGCACAGCCAATGGTGGTTTTTTTGTTTGTCTGTTTATTTGTTTTAAATGTGCCCGGGTGGCCGACGACTGACCGGGGAAACATCCCGCGCCCGGCTTTTACGCGGGCCCCTGCCTCCTGCATGTGTTAGTTCAAGGCGGGTTGGATGGGCGGCTTTAGATGCCAACCTGTGTGCTCCGCTCCCCCCCCCCCCCCCCCCCCCTGAAAAAGGCATCCATGGGTCCTGTTTTCATGGGTCCTGGAAGGCCCTGAAGCTGGCCTGGGTACTACCGAGGTGCCGCTTGTTACTTTGGCCGCTTTTAGTTTCACTTCTGTTGCATTTCTGCCTTCTTCCTCAAACTCCTCTCATGATTCCCATGTATCCCCAGTAAAAACATTAGCCCCAAAGAGCCAGGGAGCCAAATGAACAAACAGCCTCTGCCCAAACCTTTTGAGTTACCGGATCTGACAGATCCAATCCCCTGCTTTTAAGCATACCTCTCAGCGCTTTAAGCGCTGGGTCCTCAGGCTTAATAGTTGCATTACCCATCTTTCCAGGTCTTGCTTACCCCGAACTTCCCGATTGGCCCCAATCCATTTTTCTTTCTTTCTTTTCAACTTCCTTTGAGCGCCATGCTGGGTGCCAGTTGCTGGGGGTTCGAGCCAGCGACCCCCGTGCAGTAATGATTGGGGCTGAGTAAGCGTGCCGTTCGCCAGCCTCCCCCAGTACTGGGGACAATCAGACGCAAAGGGGAGCCTAGTCAAGCAGGGACTCATTTACTGCAGGCATTACAGAGCTTATAAAGGCATCTGGAAATCCCCCCTCCCCCACTGAGGGTGTATCTTAAGGATGGTCACGCACTGATCATGCACTCCTCAGCAGTGCGGAAGTATCCTTCAGACGTTTAAAACAAGTCAGGCCGCGCCCCAGTAACTTCTCGGACCTCTGCAAGGTGGGGCCTTTAGGTCCCCACACAGTTCCAGGGAGATCCAATGCCCTCTTCTGACCTCTGTGAGCACTGTGACATGGGTGCACTTGCATACATGCAGGATGCACAGGACTTGTGTTTTGGTCTAGGATAGAAGCCACTGGTGTTTCTGTGCTTTCTTGTCTTCCTTCATCATGGGAGGAAAGGTTAAATTTCAACTAAAGGTTAACGGAGATAAGTCATATTTCCTCACACAACCCTGCCAGTCCACTTATACAGGGATCCCAAGCAAAGTTCTTGTCTTTCTTATGGCCCCTCTGTGGTGTGACCCAGGGTTTGTACACAAGTACCAGGTCTTCATGGTAGAGTTGAGTATAGAGGTGTAGCCTACAGCACTACACACAAGTGCTGTAGCCTTGTAGGGGTAATAGAGCTGATAGCCCCAAGCCAAGAACAAAAGAAGTTGGGAGATAAAATCAAGCATGTCCCAAATTATGTAGAAGGGATATAGAAAAGAGGCAGCCAGGAGTGGTGGTCACAAAGGAAATAACAAAGTCAGATCTACACAGTGGATAATGGCTGCGGGGGGGTGGGCTCAGACATCCTAAGTGTAGTATTAGGGGAATTCTGATCCCCACAGCAGCCTGGCTAGTTCATAGGACCCAAGAATTGGCATTTCTTTCTTCTCTTTTTTTTTTTTTTTTTTGTGACAGAGTCTCTCTGTAGCCTCAGCTGGCCTAAAACTCACTATGTAGACCAGACTGGCCACAAACTCTGAGAGATCCATTTGTCTCTGCCTCCCAAGTGCTGGGATTAAAGGCAGGTGCCACCATGCCCAGCTTAAGGATTGGCATTTCTGGAACACTGACTGTTCTTGCAGAAGACCCAGGTTCGAATCCCAGCATCCACATGGCAATTAACGACTGTCTGAAACTCCAGTTCCAGGGGATCCAAGAGCCTCTTCTGTCTTCCAAGGGCATTGCATGACATGGGTACACTTACCTACATGCAGGCAATGCACACATACACATAAAATAAAAATTAAAAAAAAAAAAAGCTGGGTATGTGGATGTTCATTAAAAAAAAAGAATTGGCATTTCTAAGAAGAAATTTGTTAGATGCTGATGCTGACACAGCTGATCTAAGGACTTCTTTGAGATACACTAACCTATGGTGTAGAGAGATGGCGCAGCTGTTAAGAGTAATGGTTGCTCTTACGAAAAACCTGAGTTTGATTCCCAGCACCCACATGATGGCTCCTGGAACTCCAGTGCCCTCTTCTGGCCTCTGAGGGCATTGCATGCATGTGGTGCACATAAGTACATGCAAGTGAACACTCATACACATAAAAATAAATGTCTTTTTTTTAAAAGATACACTAGGCCAGGTGTGGTGGCACACACCTTTAGTCCCAGCACTTGGGAGGCAGAGGCAGGTGGTTCTCTGTGAGTTCAAGGCTAGCCTGGTGTACATAGTGAGTTCCAGGCCAGCTGGAGCTGCCCAGACCTCTCTTCCTCACAAACATCACTACCTGGTAATCACAGCTGGCGAGGTTTCTTTCAAGTTTCTGTTCACAAGATCCCTAACCCTAGCACTTTTCCACCCCAGTGTGTGCCCCAGTACCTCATCTCCTCTACCCTTTGTCAGACCATGAGCAATCTCAGGACTATGTCTGTCTTGATTCATCTGTGTTCCCACACAGACTCCCACCTAGTTCAGTGTCTGGCTGATAGGTATTCAATAGATTTTTGTCAAATGAGTGTTTCTGAACAGGAAGAAGTCAAAGTCACACATGCCTGTAACCCCAACACTGAGGGGAACAGTGGAGACAGGAGGATCCCTGAGGCTTCCTGGCTGTCAATCAAGCTCCAGATTTAGTGAGGGACCTTGTCCCAAGGGAATAAGGTGGTGAGTGATAGAGCAGGTCACCTGCACACGTGTCCATATGCCACACATTCACATACAAATGCAATCTTCTGAGATTCAAGGAAAGCTCTTAACTGTGAGCCCTTGCAAAATAAAAAATAAATAAAGGACACAGGAAGAGATTCAGGGGAGGGGGGAAAAACACAGTGTTTACAAACACAGAAATTATGCCTGCCAAAGGCCAAGAAATCAGGTTTATTGGCTTTGCCCCAGCCTCTAAGGGAAGTTTCCAGTCTCTTGTGAAGCAAAAAATGGGGTTGGAGAGAAAACTCAGCGGTGAAAAGCACTGGCTGCCTTCAGAGTTTGGTTTGGTTTGGTTTCCAGCACCCACATAGAGGTTAACAACTGCATGTAACTCCAGTTCTAGGACAATTCGATGCCCTCTTCTGACCTCCATGGGTATTGCATGACACAGGCACACTTCCATATAGGCAATACACTTACACACATAAAAATAATAAATATATATATATATATATATATAAAGGAAAATACAGTAAGAACTGGGGAAGAGAACCCACACTCCACCCTCTCTAGTCATGACTCTGGGTTCTGTACGCAACCTCAGCTGGGCTACAGGTAATCACACCAATCCCCTAAATTCACTGTGAGGCTCAATTGAGACATTAGATGAAAATCAGGCAGCCATCACTGTAAAATGTTTTGCCATTACCATTTGTGCAGTGTTCAGTTCAACAAGTGAGGAAGTGTTCACTGTGTACCAAGCATGGGCGGCAACAGCACTGACAAGTCACATGTTATCCACCTCACAAAACATGCAAAGAACATGGGAGTTTTCATTTGAGGAGACATTTTATTATAAATACATTCTTGCAAGGTGTGATGACACTTGGGAGGGAGAGGCAGGTAGATCTCTGTGAGTTCAAGGACAGCCTGGTTTACATAGTGAACTGCAGTTCCAGGCCAGCTGGGGCTACAGAGAGACCCTGTCTCAAAAGACCAAAAACAAACAAACCAAATATATTTTTAATGGGCTGGAGATGTCATTCAGCAGTTAAGAGCATGTGCTGCTCCTTCAGAGGCCATAGTTTGGTTTTCAGTACCCAAGTCCAGTAGCTCATAATCATCTGTAACTCCAAGGGATCCAACACTCTCTTCTGACCTCTGCAGGCATGTTGACACAGATACCCAACATGCATACACAGACACACATAATAAAATAAACATATATATTTTTACTAAAAAACAATATAAAACAGCAGGAATATCTACCTTACATAAAGTTTTAAAAAAGGGTGTCAGGATGGCCGAATGGTCTAAGGTCCCAGACTCAAGCTTTGCTTTCCCTGATGGGGATTCTGGTCTCCAAATGGAGGCATGGGGTTGAATCCCACTTCTGACATCTCTTTTAGTCAGGTATGGTGGCACACACCACTCAGGAGGCAGAGACAGGCAGATCTCTGTGAGTTCAAGGCCAGCCTGGTCTACATAGTGAGTTCCAGGCCAGCAGGGGCTACAGGGAGACCATTTCTTAAAAAAAAAAAAAAAAAAAAAAAAGAGGGACTGAGCTGAGAGGGGTGGAGCATGCCTTAATCCCAGCACTGGGGAGGCAGAAGCAGATGGACCTCTGTGAAATGGGGGCCAGCCTGGCCTACATAGAAGGTTCCAGGTCAGCTGGGACTATAGGGAGACTCTATCTAAGAAAAGGGTGGGGGCAGAGAGATGGCTCATCTGTTAAGATGGCTCAGCAGTTAGGAGCTGCTCTTGCAGAGGACCCAGATTCAGTTCCCAACACCCACAAGGTGGCTCACAACCATCTGTAACTCCACTGGTACACTTCCATACACTCAGGCAAAACACTCATACCACACATAAAATAAAAATAAATAAATCCAAAAAAAATTTTTTTTCATTTAGAAAAATGAAAGGCGAGAAAAGGAAACAGGGACTGGTGACATGACTCAGTGGTAAAGGTACTTGCCACCAAGTCTAAAGACCTGAATTTGTTCCCCTGACTGTCACACACGTGCCATGGCACATGTGCCCACAGACAGACACACACACACACAATCAATAAATGAAATAAATGGACAAAATTTTAAAAAAGAAACTGTGCATGGTGGCCCACACCTTTAACCCCAGCAACTCAGGAGGCAGAAGTAGGCAGATCTCTATGACTTTAAGGCCAGCCTGATCTATACAGCAAGTTCCAGGCACCCAAAACGCATGTGGCATATATACATTCCTGCAGGCAAGACACTCATACACATAAAACAAAAATTCCTTTTAATTTTAAAAAAGAGGCAAGGTGCCCAGCTTCTTGTGCTGTCATCCAAGAACCAGAAACATCCAGCCACGGTAGCAGCTCTTCCAGCCAACGTGATCTCGTCACTTAGCTCTCATCTAATTGAGCCTCTGCTGTCCCTGCACAACAGTAACATGACATGTCTAAAACAAAAGCCAAGGACGTGGCCTGGTGATAGACTCCTTGCAGGGCACATTTGAGGAAGGGGAGCAGCCTCTGCCTGGACAGCAAAGCTCAACAGTTCCCAGGTGACGCTGACCGTGAGCAGTAGCAATGGCAATGGAAGATGTAGGCTGGAGCACCTGCCTTCCTCAGCCTCCGTCTGCAATGGAGACATGGAGAAGATCCTCTGGACACACAGCATGAATCAGGCCAGAGCAGCTGAAGAGGTGGTTACTTCTGTAAGAGCCCTTCACCTGGAGAAGATGGGAGGCTCCTGTCTGATGTCATGAGGCCCACCAGCAGGCCCTGTCAGTAGCTGTACAAGGAGTGAAGGAAGTCAGGGTTTTGAGAGGGTATCAATAGAATCAAAACATTCCACCCAAAGAATTCCACTTCAAACACCCTAAGTGTGTTGTGTCTCTAAAAATTAGGAAAACTGAAGCCATTAAGAAAAGGGATATTAGGGCTGGAGAGATGGCACAGGCTGTTCTTGCAGAACACCAGGGTTTGAATCCCAGCACCCACATGGTGGCTAACAACTGTCTGTAATTCCAGTTCCAGAGGAACTGACACCCTCTTCTGCCCTCAGTGGGCATCACACAACACAAGTGCACTTACATACATGCAGGCAACACACTCATACACATAAAATAATAATAAAGCGGACCGAACGTCTAGATGTGAAACTGCCAAGAAAGAAATTTTTTCTTTTTTTTTTTTTGGTCTTTTTGAGACAGGGTCTCCCTGTAGCCCCACCTGTCCTGGATTCACCATGGAGATCAGGCTGGCCTCGAACTCACAGAGATCTGCCTGCCTCAGTCTCCTGACAGCACGCCTTACATTTTTTGTGCACCCAAGTCTGTGTGCCTGCAGAAGTCAGAAGACATCACATCCTCTGGAACTGGAGTTACATACGGTTTGGAGCCGCCATGTGGGTGCTGGGAATGGAACCCGGGTCCTCTGCAAGAGCAGTCAGTGCTCTTAACCACTGAGCCATCTCTCCATCCCCAAGAAAGAAACTTTTTAAGATTTATTTTATTATTTTTAATTGGAACTGGAGAAATGGCTTAGCAGTTAACATCTCTTACTGGGTTCCAGAGAACCCAGGTTCAGTTCCCAGCACCCAGATGGCAGATAAGGACCATCTGTAACCTCAGTTCCAAGGGATGTGACACCCTCTTCTGGCCTCCAAGGGCACTGCACGCAGAGGCACTTACATACACAAAGGCAAAACACTCATACACATAAATAGAAATAAATAAAAAATTATTTTTATTTTGTATATGTTTGTGTATCTGTGTGAGTGTATGCCACATGTGACTGGGTGCCAAAGAAATAGGGCAGAGAGTTCCCTGGAGCTGGAGTGACAGGTGGCTGTGAACACCTAACAAGGATGCTGAAACCAAACTCAGGTCTTCTAGATGAGCAGCAAGTGTTCTTAACCACTGAGCCGTCTCTCCAGTCCCAAGAAGAAAAACTTTAAAGGCTATAAAGTAATCAGCCTTTCAGGAGGATGGTTCTCCCAACGGAAGGACAGAATGAAATGAGAGGGCGAGTGTCTCTGGAAAACGTTTGTTATCCAGCCTGAAGCTGACCTGGTCACCCGAAGAATGGCAGGAGAATGGCTAGATTTGAAGAGGAAAAAGAATCTGCAGCATTTGATGGCTGAAATTTATTGAGCTTGTTCATTTATGTTTGGTTATTGTTTTGGTTGGTTTTAAGATTTATTTATTTATTTTGTGTGTATGGGGTTTTTCCTGGTTTTTTGTTTTTGTTTTTCTGACACCAGGGTCTCCCTGTAGCCCCAGGTGGCCTAAAACTTGCTATGTGGCTCAGGCTGTCCTCAGTCTCCCAGAGATCTGCCTGCTTCTGCCTCCCTAGTGCTGGGATTAAAGGCCTGCATCACCTCACCTGGCCTTGCCTGTATGTATGTTTATGTACCATATGCATGCCTAGTCCCACAGAGGCTTCAAAAGAGGGCATCAGGTCCCCTGAAACTGGAGTTAAGGACCATGGTCAGCCACCATGCGGAAATCCAACCCAGGTCCTCTACAAGAGCAATAAGTGCTCTTAACCACTAAGCCATTTCTCCAGTCCCTAAGACTTATTTTTTCATTTTAATTGTGTGTGTGTGTGTGTGTGTGTGTGTGTGTGTGTGTGTGTGTGTCTGTGTGTGGTTATGTGCATGTGACTGCATGTGCCCAAGGAGGTAGTTAGTGCTCTTAACTGCTGAAGCATCTCTCCAGCTCTCTTGGTGCTTTTAGATCCAGTATTTTGACAATCAATACTAACCATCACACATGGTTATCATTATCATCTGATGTTTTTCCTTCTAAAGTCAGTATTTCCTTGACTAATTTGTTTGTATTTCATTTATTATTTTATGTGTATGAGTGTATTGCTTGCATGTATGTGAGTGCACCCATGTTGTGCAATGCCAAGGAGGTCAGAAGAGGGCCTCGGATTCCCCTGGAACTGGAGTTAAGGACAGTTTGTAGCTACCTTGTGGGTGCTGGGAATTGAACCCGGTTCCTCTGCAAGAGCAGTCAGTGCTCTTAACTGCTGAGCCATCTCTCCAGCCCCCCTTTGACTAATTTTAATCATATATTTTTTTGTTTAAGATTTTTAATTTTATTTGTATATTTTATAATTTTATTTATTCTTTTTTATGTGTATGAGTGTATTGCCTGCATGTATGTAAGTGCACCAGTGTCGTGCAATGCCCTCAGAGGTCGGAAGAGAGTGACAGATGTCCCTGGAACTTGAGTTACAGACAGTTGTTAGCCACCATGTGGGTGCAGGGAACCCAACCCAGGTTCTCTGAAAGAGCATCCAGTGCTCCTAACCACTGAGCCAACTCTCCAGCTCATTATTTTTATGTTTAATTATGTGTATATGTGTGTCTGTATGGGAGTATATGCACATGAATGCAGTTGCCTATGGAGGTCAGAAGAGGATGTCAGATCCCCTGGATCTAGAGTTATAGATGGTTGTAAGCTACCCAAGTGGGTGCTGGGAACTGAATCACGATCCTCTGCAAGAGCAGTATGTACTCTTAACCACTGAGCCATCTCTAGAACCCCGTCATACTTAATACTAAAACCTTTTTGGAGACCAAATCTCATGTATCCCAAGCTGGCCTTGCATTCACCATGTAGAGGAAGACAACTTTGAACATTAGATTGTCCCACCTCCACCTCCAAAGCTGTGGGATTATAGGCATGTGCCACTATACCAAGTTAATGAAGTGCTATGGATCAAACCCAGGGCTTTGTGCATGTTAGGCAAGCACTCAACTAACTGAGCATTCCTGGCCCAATTTTGAATCTTTAAACTTCAATGAAGTAGAACATGAGATTCTTACATGTATGGAAAAAAAGCAGCCAGGCATGGTGGTGCACGACTTTTATCCCAACACTCAGGAGGCAGAGGCAGATGGATCTCTGAGTTCGAAGCCAACCTGATCTACATAATGAGTTCCAGGCCAACAAGGGCTCATCTGTTTTTTGAATGTCTTCTTCCGAACTTTAGCCCATTGACTGCTGCATCACCTGCAGAACAGAACGGTGTAAACTTGCTCCTCTCTCCTGTGGCTGTACTCTCACCTCACCTTCACAGATTTCCTATGCATTAAAACCCTCAACTCCACGAGCATCACCACCTTGGCTCCTAGGCTTCTAGTATGCATACCAAGCTGAGGACCAGGAACACTACAAGAAAAACCAGCCAAGCTTCAAAGGTACCCAGCCTAGAGCTGAGCACCCAGCTTGAACTAAGGAGGGTGGGGTATGGAGGGCCTTCCGGACAGAAAAATGTGTGTATAAAAAACTATGTGGGAGAAAAAAATGGGAGGCACAGAGGAAGTAAAGCCTGACCACAGAACAGAATGGGGCCACAGTTCTGATCCTGACCAGTGAGTCCCTCGCTTACCTCCAATAGCCCCCACCTTAGCATTTAAAGGAAAACAGGCCACCACCAGCATGGTACCGAATGCTGGCAAAACGGGGTGGAGACCAAGGTCACAGTTCCAGCAGACACCTGAGATCTTCCTGGCATACCCAGGGTGGATCCTGCGGCTCATCAGAACTTAGATGCACTCTCTTAGCTTTTCCAGTTTTTCCTTGGGATTCTTACCTTGTATGGGATGGAAGCCGTTCCTGAGGTCCCAGGTTTGAGAGACAATGCACAGCACAGAGGGGGGTCAGACAAGAAGTGGTGATGCACAGCTGAATTCCAGGCCAGGAGCCGTGGGCACAGCCAGCACGGCATGGGCGGACCGTGAATCTATCCCCAAAGGCCAAAAGAGTGGGGGTCGGGGAAGGAGGAGCAGGCGTCCCATCTCTCTGAAACTGGAGGATGAGCTAGAGGTGAGAAGGAAGAAGCCGGAAGGCATGCCCGAGAACTACAGGTAGACTTATGCAAGGAGCTTGGTCGGTTCTCAACAGGGCTCAGCTAGAAAGGGCCGGGCCCCTTTGCTGACCAGGAGTCAATCAACAAATTCCTCCTGGAAAGGTGCGGATCCGGGCCTCGGGGAGGCCAGCGAGGAAGGAAAGCGCAGATCCAGAGGCTGCGGAGCAGAACGGCGGCCGGTCGGGTCCACACCGCCAGCTGCATCCCCGCCGGGCTCAGCGGTCCTCCCGCGGGCATGGCGGCCTGCCGAAAACCCCTCCGGAGGAACGGGATGGAGACTCGGAAGCCCGAGGCATCGGGTCTGGTCTCCAAGCAAGGTCTGCCGCGCTCCGTGTCCTCCGGCCGGTACCGCCATCCCGGTCCAGGAGGCTCCAAGACCACGCCTGAGCTCTCCGGGTTGACTTGAAGACAGTGACGCTGGGAAAGGGGCCACCTGAGAGGGGCGGCCGGCGGGGCGGAGGGGGCGGGGCTCCACCGGATGGGACGGGGCTCCACCGGATGGGACCGGGCTCTAGGGGAACGGACGGGGCTCCAGCGGAGGGGTAGGGCTAAAGCCAGAGGAGGGCGGAGCTGACTCCAAATGACTTCGGGGAAAGTGACTTTGCTTAGGTCTAACTTGTCCTAACGTGCGTGATCGACGCGGAGGGGTTGGTTTTAAACCCAGTCTCCCGGTGCTGATTCTTGGGACTCCCTAGGCAAGGACTGTGAGAAAGCGCAGATAGCCGGTGTGGAGGACATGCCAATGATCTCAGTACTCTGGAGGCAGAGGCAGGAAGATCACCCCGAGTTCCAGGCCAGCCAGTGACATCCTGTCACATGAAGGAAATGAAGAGAGGAAAGGAGGGCGGCGAGAGAGGGAAAAAAAGAAAGAAGAGGAGGGCTTGGGGATGTAGCTCACTGTAGCACACTTGTCCAGCAAGAGAGAGGGCCTGGATTTGATCCCTAAGACCAAACGATAGAGAGAATGACGTTTTTTGGAAGGGAAAAAACCCAAAACTTTCAGCCCACACTAGAAAGCTGGCATGTGGATGGAGTGGGTCACATGTCTATTTATACTCAACAGTCCAGAGAGACAGGAAGGTGCTAGTGTGAAAGCTGGTACCCAGAAAGAACTCCTGCATCTTGGACTGAATTTTCTGAAAGGCTGACCAACTGATTAGCACTCCCAAGGTTGTGGAGAGGCTGGAATGTTGCAGATCCAGTCTATTCTCAATCATCTGGGGAACCTTTAATCCCATAGTCATACCTTGCTTATCTCTGCTTCTGAATTAACATTCTTGTGACTAATAAAATGTATTAACTTAGCAGACCACCAGGTCCCACACCAATCAAAAAGCTAAGAATGTCATCAGATAGCATCTGAGACCTATAGAACCTCCACCCCTGCTTTCCTATGACCTGCCTACTAAATGTACCCACAAATGTATTTGAAAAGTGTCTTGATTTATGACTTTTCTTTGTTCTGTTATTAAAAATATGTTACTGTTACCACATTGGAACATGAAATTTAGAGTAACCTGAATCTGTGTTCCTGGGCCATGGTCACACATATTTGGCTCCAAAATAAACTATCTCTTATCTCTTTTGAGGTGAGAGTTATGCTTTTGCATCGACATTAGCATGGCCTGCTTACTGGGCATCAAACTGGTTTTGGGTGAGTAAAGACAGGTGACTCCCAGGACCACCAACCAAACTAAGCAGTGGCTCAAGATAGACTCGAGAAAACAAAAGGACAGTCACCTAGAGTTACCAAGGAGGCAGGTGATGTACGAGACTGGGGTTCTAAAAAGGCACTCAGCAGGATGTGAAGGAGCACAGCCAGGACAGCACCCTACCTGTCGTCCAAAGAGTCTGCAAGAAACCCAGGTGAGTCTGCAGCAGACCAGAACTAGTGATCAGAGTGACAAACCCCAGCCTTCACTCACCTGGGGCTTGCTGGACCTTTGCCACTCCAGCCCACCTAATGCACAGCTTCCCCAAAGCCTCCCAATGTACCTTGCTGAGGTCCTGCCCAATTCCTAGCAGGCCCTGTGTCAACTCTCACTGCTCAGTCCTCAGACATCAGCCCAGAACCTTTGCAATGGAACTTCTTACTTGCCCACATGCTATATCTTTTCTTCACATTTCTCCCTTATTTACACCACCTTAATCCATCATGATAGCATGTAAACTGCAAACAGAACAGAATGGCCCTCATCTAGTTTCACTTTAATTTTTTCTTTCTTTTGCTCACAGCTGTAGCCTAAAGCCTAAAACAGCTTGCCATCCAAGGAGTGCTCCCTGAGCACTTACGTGCTGAGCAATGTTCTGGGCACTTTCCTCATTTATTCCTTTTGTTTTGGGTTTGATTTTGTTGAGACAGAGCCTCACTGTGTATCCCTGGCTGGCCTGGGACTTGCTAAGTAGATCAGGTTAGCTTCAAAGGGACAGTGATGCCCTAGCCTCTGCCTCCTGAGTGTTGGGACTCCCAACCTGTGTTACCACACCTGGCCTTGTAGATTCCTTTATTCTCCACACCACTATGTTATATAGGTACTAATTTCAATCTCATTTCACAGATGTGAAATTAACAATATGAAATTTTTAGAAGTAGAAAAATAAATACTTCTATCTGGGCCTGGTATGATCTCAGCTACTTGAGAAGCGGAGGCAGGAAGATCAAGGCTAACCTGGACTACAGCATGGCCAATATTAGCTATATAGACCCTATCTCAAAAGGTAAACAGAGGCTGGGGATAGACGTTGCTCAATAATAAACCATTTTCCTGGCATGTAAGAGGCCCTAATTCAATCTTGAACACTGCCTCCAGCCAAAAGAAATCAAAATACATATGAACCCCTTTAGTTCATATAAAAATTACTGGCTGCTATCATCCTAGTCTCTTGCTTGAGAGATTCAGTCCTCAGAATTTATTTGGGGTGTATGAATGTTTTGCTTGCGTGTATTTATGTGTGCCTTGTGCATGCCTGGTACCATGGAGGCCAGAAGAGAGTATCTGATCCCTTGAAATTAGAGTTACAAACAGTTGTGAACTGCCATGTGGGTGCTGGGAACCAAACCAGGGTCCTCTGCAAGAGCAGCCAGTGCTCTTAACTGCTGAGTCATCTTTCCAGCCCCTTGTGCCCTCTGTTTTGTTTTTTTGAGACAGGGTCTCTCTATAGCCCAGACTGGCCTCAGTTTCACAGAGATCCACCCATGTCTGCCTACTGAGTGCTGGAATTAAAGGCACGTGCCACCACACACAGTTCTTGTGCACCTGTTTTTTTTTAAAAAAAAAAAAAATTTTTTTTGAGGGCTTGAAAGAAGTTTCAG